TAATTCTGTTCAAAGCAAATCTTGAAGACGTTACAAGACATGCTAAGTCTTGTAACGTCTTCAAGATTTGCTTTGAACAGAATTACCCTAAAAGTGATGGGTGTCTCTAGGGGCAAATAACAGTTATGGCTTATTGCCCATTTGTGAGACACCCATCACTTTTAGGGTAATTCTGTTCAAAGCAAATCTTGAAGACGTTACAAGACTTATGGTGCGTTCACACCGAAAATAGTCCTGAAAGCGAGCTGTGAGCCTCTCCCGCAGCTCCTGGGTGATGAAACTCAGAATGTCTCTGAATTATCTGGTGAATTAATTATGAATTAATTATCTGATGAACGTGACATGCTCTTGCTCTCTGTAAATAAAGCAAAGCCACTTCCTCGTCTGACATTAAACAGAGCCCRACAGAGGAGGGAGGGGCGGGGAGGCTGTTGCCATGTGAGCGCTTCAAGAGCTGACCTGCGTCTGACCTCAAATCAAGCGTCCAACTTGAAGCATTGGATGCGATTTTGAAGCTGAAATCGCGTTCGGTGTGAACGCAGCATAAGTGTGATGGTGTGAGTCTGCATTATAAATTAGCTAGTTTTTTTTAATGCAGTTCTTCACTATCAGAATCTCTTATTTCACTGAAGCTTTGTAAAATTAAAAATTAATTGTTTATAATTTTCTCTTTTCCTTTCATGCCACACATTTCCTGCCTTGGTATCCCCACCCTACCTTTTGAAGTTTTTTTCTTCTAAGGGGTTAGAGGTTTCCTGCTGAGAGAGTGAAATAAATTTTTAACTAATCACAGGGTCTGTCTGCGCAGAACAACGGTGATAATTAAATACCAAAATACAGGCCGCTGAAATGATAACCTTTTCACGTGCYGCAAAGACAGAAGTTACTTCTTAAATCTTACAAGGAGAGATAAAAAAGGCATAACGCTGGAAAAAAATGAATATTGTTTTAGTTATTGTCAGATTATAATTAGATTCTATTGTATTACAGCAACAAAGAGAAATCGTGTTGCTTTCTATAAGAGTTTAAACTAAAAGAAAGAACCAATACTATTCAGCAGAAATGTTTACCACCTGGCTTGAAATTAAGTCATGATGCTTGACTTTTCAATAAAGACCTCCCTTAAAAAAGATAGGAGTTTATAACTTAACTAGATCAGACCAGTGACATCATTAGGAGTAATAACATCCACAGCTGCAGTTATTTTTCTCATAAAATGACAAATCTAAAAATGATATTGGCAGAGAAATCTGGGAACAGGTTCTAAACATAAAGATGTTATGCAGCAAAAAACCCACAGAATTTACTGTAACTGATGCAAAATACTTCATGGAAGAGTGAAATAGGGGTAGAAAGAATATTGCATTGTTTCATCATTAGAGAAAAACCATCATAGGATTAAAGGGATAGTTTGTCATTTTTAAAGTGAGTTTCTGTGAAAAGAGTATGAACAGTTAATATGTTACCTGTTGTAGATGGCTCTTTAAAATAACCTTAGTTTGGAGRAATATTTTAATTCTGACTGGTTTGATGAGTTTAAAGGCTAGTCTGAGTGGGGCCAAGGTCAAAAAGGATTGCTGTCATCTTAAAATAAGTACACAGTTCCTTACAAAGAATTACATGATTATTTACAAGAGTAAAWACACTTGGAACAAAAAGTAAGGAAAATTGTGTTTAGTAGATTTCTTTGTTGTAACTGAAGAAATTTATAGTTGTTAGAGGTTAGTACTGATTTTAAAAGCACAACACTATATTTTTAGGTTTTCCTTTTTATAATGTTGACAATGTTTAATCTATTATGTTTTGATTGATATAGATTAGTTACATGTCCGAATTATAACAACACAGAATTAAAAAGTTATGATAACAGTAGATGAGGTTTTTGTCTGAATGCCTGTGATTCAGCCGTAGGTCAGTAGGGGGCGAACGCAGGCATTGAAGAACCATGTATAAATTGATGAACTTCCTGGTTTTTCGCCAGTGTGGTTTCCTGTCAGCTCCGGTGGCAATAAAGCTCACTCAGTTCCAGAATTCTGGTGTTGTATGGTTTGATTCCTACTACAAATCATTTTATTGAACAATGGTGTTTTAATATCGATTTCAGTTTATTGAATACGTATTTATCTTACATAACGATGCTTCTTGGTAATAAATCTTATACCGGGCACCTGACTGGCAGCCCCTGGGGGTACCAGAGGTGTCAATAGCAACAGCAAAATAATCTGTTTGCCAGAGAACATTTGACACATTCTCAGCTCTACTGCTCATCCAACAAATGCTTGTTCCTTACAAATGTGGCACCAAGGGAAATTAACAGGCTTTTCAACAATATAAGATTTATTCCCAAAAAGCATTGTTACAACAAATAAATATTCTACCAAACACAAATTTCATTAAATTGTGTGGTAAATTCAGTAGCAGCAGCAGCAGGTAGCTGTAGCACCTTTGGTGTGGAGCACATGGCACATACGATTCTCCCTCTGGGATGATGATGGTGTGTAATTCCAATTGTTGGTGGTGTAGAGTTGGACAAAACTATGTTTGCATGAAATCCTATAAAATGTTTGATACCTGCAATGTTTTAAGATGCCAACGAGCCACATTTTGCACAAAACCCCACTTCAAAAGATCTGCACCTCTATCATCAGAGTGGCCCCTCTTCATAGTCCACATTTGCATTCACAGACTATGACTTAGACAAAAACAGTGCATGTAAAAAGCAACTGTACTTTGGAGAAAATTCACTCAATTCATCATGTGTTTGTGCCTGTGGTCAGTGGGGCGCAGCGCGTGTTTGCAGACAGGGGTTACTCTGTGCAGGGTATCGCTTACCTCCAGGGCTTTACTCTTGCTGTTCAGCAGCTTGGAGATGTCCCGTGCCACTCTCTCGACCAAGTCCTTGGGGTTGTTTCTCTTGATCTCAAACTGGCTCTTCTTCTCATTATAAATCTGCAGACGGAGCACACAGACAAGCAAAAGGTCACGCAACTGTGGCCATTAGTTTAATTAAAAAGATCGCAGATGAGCCGCTCGCTTATTCTCGAGGTAGAACGGAGGATGGTAAACATTTACTGTAGAGTAGGTGGTCTGCAGATTGTCATTATACCCACAAGCCTCTTGCACTGTAGAGGAATTAAACACAGAACAGAGCCTTAATGGCAAAGCACTTAGCTAGCCAGATGTAGTCTAGCAGCCAGGATCAAATTAAATCAATGAAAACTCCAGCAGATTCTCACTGCAGGGTGAATACCTTTTATTTTAGTTCCAAAGGAGTTCAAATTTGAGAAGATAAAAACAATGTTAAATAGCTTGGATGTCTGCATTTTTCCTGCGTTGGGTTGCTGAAGATTAACCCATGAAGCTACAGAAAGAATGTTCACATTTATAATCACAAAGTGAATGTCAACTAAAAACATAGTCAGTGCTGAAAACCACATGAAACGAGACAGCATGTAGGAGACCCTAGAACTCAGATGTTTGTGAACGAGGAACTTATCGGAGGTAGAATGGCTGATAATCGGACCACTTATGGTAAAAAAGGTTTCGGGAGTTTATGCTGTCCTGTAAGAAATGCAACAGCTGAGTCAGCAACCAGAACTGTTCCTGCAGTCTGCGACAGGGGAAAGCATGAGGGACAACAACAGATCCTGCAACCCTGACACAACACCACCTGCTTCCATATAAAACCATTTTATATGGCTCTCCTGAAAAAAAAGGCAGCCTTTTTGACTGCCCATTATAATGCAGTTAAGACCTACTTCAGGATAAAGTGCTGCAGTTCCAGCATGTTTTAACAGTACAATGGTACCAAGTGCCTTACTGGCACTATGAAGATAATTACCTAAACTCTTCATATACGAGGATATAATGGCATCTGCTTTAGAAAAGAAGAGTGACTATAAGTAAAAGGCGGACGTTAGGCATGCCTAGACGCCTGTGGATTAAAAATGAAAAGCGAAGCCAACACATGCAGGTACAGCAGAGTGGTTGTGAATCGCCATTGGGGGGATATTGATCAGGTATGTAAATATACAGAAAATGCCAAGCAATTTTTTAAATAAGACCTCAGAAATGTTGCCTCTGAAATGCCAATTCTTACAGAAGTGACGCCACTCCAGCTCCGAGCTCTGAATCCTTCATGTATTTGTCTCTAAATCTGTAGTTTATTGCTTTTATTTCACAGCTGAACTTGAAAATGTTCATTTATCTTACTAATGAGGATTATTCTCACAAACACTTTGATCACATTCAATGACAAGATTTTAAGTAAAGTGACAAAGACTTGTTCTATATACTGCTAAAATACACAACAATCCCTATTGCCCCATTTTCTTTGCCAGCTACAGTTCATAAACCATTTTGAAATGTTTTTTTCCTCTAAATCCATCCTTGTTTCTTTTGAAACAAGAGCCAGCAGAACCATCTTTTGACTGAATAGTCGAAATGGCCCAAAAACGAACCCTCCTTGTGTCATTCTAATCCAAAATCTGAATCAAACGAGGCTGATATGCAATTGTATCCAAACTACAAAGCACATCTGCATGTCAACTGCTTAAGTGAGTCATGCAGTCCACCCCACAAAAAGCTGCTACATTTGTTGTCTTTTTCTTATGCAGATTGTTTTATGTGTCTTTCATCAGTTTTTCTTTCAATATATGATGTTACAACATATACCAGATGAGATGAGCGGCACTTATCTTCATCCTGATCTAAGGTTTTATTCACTTAAAACCTTTCCTAACTACAGCATATTCAGTGTTTCCCCTACCATTAAACAGGTGGGGCAGAGGAGGAGGAAGAGGAGGAGGGGAGTCTTTTAAAGATGTCTACATTTGACTTTTATTTTTTTATAAAATCACAGAGTTCTCTGAGTCAGCTTCAGATGTTTGTAGTTAATCATACCTTCTAAATTTAACCAGGTGTTTCAATGCCTTTAAATTACACAATAAAATTTTTTTTTCTGTGCAGAGAACTTCCTCTGCTATAATTTATTTTAAATAAATATATCAAAGCTCCCCAGTTGAAAACACTAAAATGATAGAAAAGATGTTTAAAAACTTCTTTCCTCATAAAGTCTTCAGTCCTAAGAACACTAAACTGTAACTTTTAAGTAAGTTACGTACACAGTTTACTCCTATTTTAATAATAATGTTTGACCTGTAAGCAGAAAGCTTATGGATGTTGGATGTAGATTTTTTATCTCTATTTCAAAGAAGAGGATGAGGAGAACGAGGAAGTTCTCCTCAAGCAGCTCCTAAAACATGTCAACCTGCTGACTGAGAACATTTGTATATA